TTTTTAGAGGGGGGGGAACCCCCTCCCCCCCCCCCCTCAAAAAAAAAAAAAAAAAAAAAAAGAGCGAGTCGGGGCACGTCAGAGGTGTGCGAAGTAACTGTAAGAACAAACGGTAAATTAATGAGTAACTTAGACGGAGGAAACGCCGTCTCGTGGGAAAATAAATTTGAGCACACCTTCCTTTCTCATAAGCCACTTTTTAGTGTTCTTCGACGTGTATCCTTCCCGCTGACACCAAGCAGAGATCTTTCCTGGCTGCACCTGATTAATGGCTGCTGTCAAGGGCACAGCATCTTCCTGCCTCTTGACAAAACCATGAGAGGTAGCTCCTGTCCGCCCTCTGTTTTCCTGGCTACTCTTCATGAGGTCACACTCAACTGCTGCGATTTCTAAAGCAACCAGTTATGATATGTGTTATTCTGTTAGGGCCCAATGAGAGAACCAACCTACTTGGCCTAACATTGCATAGTGCTAAATTTCACATTCTTTCACTTCATTTGCTATGACCATCATTTACATGATGATTACTGTATGGATAGGGAAGCAGCTTTAATTCACAATTATTCTGCGATTATATGTCTGATGTTTGTTAAATGTTTGCTGATACCCTTGTGTACATTGTCTTCTTCATTTAAAGAAATGAAGAATCACACTGGTCAATATTCATGCTAGATATAATGTCTCTATAATCTTTCTTGGTTCTGTCACTGCACCAGGCATCTCTTTGTAACTAAACATAACGCTCTCAGATTCTCTGATCTTCTTCAAGATGTCAAGGGGAGGGATGCAGTTTTGTATAATGTAGTATCAAATGCAGCTAGTACCATTAGTAAAAGCACTGCAAAATTCTCTTTTAGTAATAATTTTTGGAGATAAATGAGGTACAACATGTCTTGGAGAGCCTTAGTGTAGCAGCACTTTTAATATGGTCATTTATAAGTAGATTGTAATTCTAGCTGTTATATTTGCTAACCTAATGATTTTCAGCTTTTTTCTTGATGTGGAAATTAGCTCCACGGAATTATGATACAGTATTTCATTGCTTATCCAATGAGGTGTTAATGAGATGTTAGTAAAACATGTATTTACATTTTTTTTGCTGAAGTTTTTTATGTTGATATAATATGATATAGTAAAGGGTGATTTAATTTCCTTAAAAAAATCAGCACTGATTTCCCTTTGAGCTTGCTTATGCATCTGCAAAATAAGTGGAATAAGTGGAATCATCTTCTCTTCACAGCACTAGCCACAGAGTCACAGAGACTAGAAGCTCTTCTGCAAATTACTGTGCTGGAACTTGGAAGATCTGTTCCCATGATGCTTGTAACTTTCACATGGGCCAACTACATGTTCTGCAGAGTCAACATAATGGAATAAGTGGAATCATCTTCTCTTCACAGCGCTAGCCACAGAGTCACAGAGACTAGAAAAATTATGATAGTTTCCATATATGGAAAAATACTATAGTTCTTATTTTACAGAACTAATGTGCCTGCATTTAGAAAATAATTCTGTTATAAATAGCATCAGTTTATTCCTAAAGTAGCTTCTAGGTATCCGCTGAAATCTACTTTTTTTCTGCCTTTTTTCCATTTTAAGCTGGCAACTGGTAAACGCTCCTCCTCCTTCCATGGCCCATGTGCAGTTCTAACCCTAAAATCAGTTTACACAGGAGGATCGAGGGAGTTTTAGGTCTTTGTTTTCCCTCTGGAGATAGCAGCGGTTCAAAGTTCACCAGCACCACAGAACAAAAGGAAGTTCATCTTTGTTTTTGATTTTTTAAAAGCATTTTAAAAGCAGCCCTTCTTCAGTGCCTGGTGGGGAAGGAGCTTTTGAAAGCTTGCAGCATGTGTCAGATTGCTTTTATTTTTCGAAGAACAAACATCTGTCTAAGCTCCCATGGTGAGCATAAGAAAACGAGCTTCTAAAATGTCACAACTATAGTATTTATTCTAGTGTGTTAAGATGCCTCATTGAAGCTTTTCACTGAGGGGCCCTTATTTGGCCCATGATACCTGCTGTGAAGGGACACTGTATCCCTTGGGGAGTTCACCAACCCTCATGGTACTCAGCAAGGCAAGAGCCATGAACTGGGGGACAGAGAGCAGGGCACGTTTTTGTGCTGGGCGACAGGTTCCAGATTGGTCCTTGCAAAACCAAAGATAGCTTCAGCAGAATTGGGTGTGCCTTTTCCTTCCTTCCTTCCTTCCTTCCTTCCTTCCTTCCTTCCTTCCTTCCTTCCTTCCTTCCTTCCTTCCTTCCTTCCTTCCTTCCTTCCTTCCTTCCTT